CACAGACCAATTGAAAAAAAAATCAAAAGTCCTTCTGGTGGTATTTCACAGACAAACAGGTTATTAGAAAACAATTTTAATATGTAATAGGGCAATAAAAATCCACCCTATTAAAATTTTTTTAAAATGATATTTTGATTATCTGATGCTAAAAACAATTGTGAATTCTCTTTCCCATTTACCTGTTGTACCTAATATCATTTTTGCTTTGTAATATTTTTAAAACAAATAACCTTTCCACCATTAAATATAATGTTTTTGGTATTTATATTTCGAAAACAGAATAAAGCAAGCAGAGTTTCCCTTAGGTAAGTCGAGAGGACTTTTTATAGTACTGTAGAAAAGGTTCTGTCTGTTCTCTCCGCTTCTGAAAGCCACGTAGCACCATTTCTGCCGCCTCTGCTTCCGGTGATCTTGGTTCTTTAAAAAAATTAATGCTAGAAGCTGTTCTCATTTCTGTTATGTTTACTGTTTTCCTCTCTTATTTGTGCTTTTAAAACTAAGTATTTCCTAGCTTTCCTGTTACTATAGTCATCCTTTGACTGCCTTCTTTTTCAGGTTTTTTTTTTTTAATTAAAACCATATTTCTGTAATTAATGCTACGAGTAAGTAATGTATCTTTTTCTTCATATATTAGAAATGTGATTTTTGAGCCATGACTTTTAAAATTTCAAGATTTATTAGGAAATGGTTTCCCAGTAGACTAGCCCAGAATCCTTCATACTTTAGTATGAAAAAGTTTATTTATTAAAAAAAAAATAGATTCTGTTTATTATGCAGTTAGGAAGCATTGGAAAACTGAGCATATGGACACCTGACAGATGATTGTAGCAACACAGGTTGCATTCAGTTTCCTACCTTGAGTCCTTGTGCCCCAAAATACTTCAGTGATCTGATAGCAGTAACTAGCCTCTCATAGCAGAGTTCTTTCTGAAACGTATCTTGTAGCATCGTAAATCCAGTTATTCAGAGACCATAATGATGGCTTTGGAGACAAAGTAATAGCAAGGGATATTCTACATTTTTTCCCCCAAAATAAATGTGGCCTATGGAGAATACTGAGTACTATAGGCACGTTTTAGGAACAAAAGTAAAGCCACTTGCCTTGACTTTACAATGTGTTTGCATAATTATTTGTGGGGTCCCCTCCTGGGGTAGAGCAGTGTGCCTGGTGCGGGGCGTGTCATTCCGTAGCACCCTTTACTGCTAGCCCGTCTTCGGTCCTGTGTCCAAAGACCTGAGGCTTCATGCTCACTGCCGTCGTCTGTGTTGTCTCCCCAAAGGTCATTTCCACCGATATTTTTAATGAAATTGATGGGCAAGATATTGACTACATTATTTACTTTGACCTTGTTCATCTGTGATAACAAAGTACCCTATATTCATGGAGCCCTTCCTATTAAGTTTTTTGTAGAAACTAATGCATTTGAATTTTAACATCATGAAAAATGTTTTTTCTTCAGATATACTTGTCTTCACTTTTACCAGTTGCTGCTAACTTGCAGAGATTTTCTTTCACTTTTAATATTTGTTGCTTTAACGGATTTGGTCATTGAAAAGAAATTTTCAGGTGTCCCTTTTTTTTTTTAAACAAAATTCAGGAGAAAAATTAGCTTCACAAAGAGTGGTTATTTCTCATTTGTTTCCAGATTAATTTCATTATTAGCATCTAAACTTTCTATCAGCTATAGCCCATTGAGTTCTACCATTTTAGGGAAACTTGCATTAGAATACGAGAAGCATCACCCTGAAACATAAAGACACCTTAGTGATAGCAACTTAGACACATTTGACAGATGTTTATCTCAGTTGATATGTAGATAAAAATTAGAAGAGTTCGCTCAGCGCTGTGTAGGAACAGCACTCATCACCTCTGTTATGGGCCGTTGCAAAGGACAGTTGGCCTATCCGACTAAATTTCTCATCTGTAGAATGGTGGTTACGGTCCTCCCTCTCTGGGTGGTTTTGAGGATTGAGTCCAAAATGACACATGCTGACTACAGTGACTGGCATATACTAAGTGGCCATTATCATTATTATTAATTTTAAGACCTGTATTAGTGACTCCCAATAAATTCCAGATTTCTTCCAGAATTGATTGTGCTAGTTTGAGTGGAAGAATATGTCTGAGATTCCTTTATTTAACAGCAAGATTATTACTAAATGAGGTGAGGGGGCCTCTCTTCTAATCTTCTGTTTTGAGATGATAAAAATAGGCTGCCCCTTAAATATGAGACCTAAACATTAGTTCCTTTAAGAGGACTTAGACTATTGTAGCCTTTGGCTGTTTTCCTCTTCCTACTCAAAGTCACTGGATGGCTTGGGGTTTTGTGACTACATAGTGAGGCCCATGTAGTCAGTCATTCACATGGCAGATAATACTGTTCTAAATAATTCAGTTTGCCTCAAAAACAGATGCTTAGACTCTCTCTGTCTATAGCACTTGAACTTAAACTACTAATAGTTATCATTCAGTTGTACAGGCAGTGTTACTTAACATTAATCTAAGCTTGTCATAGCCTGTTTGCCCCTTATCAAGGGTAGGAAATAAAATACTGGAAGGCAGTATGTTGAATTTCCAGCTAATCTTTATTCCAGTGTACCACTCTTCACCCCACTCATGGTATTTCTGGTAAAGTAGCTCATGAATGCCATATTCAGGTTATGCATAAGTTCCCCAGAACTTCAGATCCATTTATCAATAATTGCAAATCTCTAAATAGCAATCTAATTTTTAAATAGGATTCCAGACACCTTCAATGGCTTTTTAAACAAAATGCTTTGTTTTGAATAATATTTAAATTATTATTCACAAATCAGATTGTACAAGTCAGAGTTTCTTTGACATTGTCAGTTTAGCCCTAGTGCATATAGTGTTAGCCAAGCTAGTAGCCAACCCAAATACAACACAATTACATTTCCTGTGTATATTTTAACCAAAAAAATTATGTTTACAAACTAACTGCAAGTGTATCTTTGAAATGCATATGACATAAAAAAAAGAATTTGGAAAAAGAAATGATTAGCAGGTTTATCCACACTCACGGAATGTAATTTTAATCCCTTCACACCCCTCAGTTTAGTTCTGAGTCTTGTTGGAATTCAAACCAAATGCATGTGGTAGGTATCCCAGCCTGGGGCTTTGTACAGATCTCTCATGGTTTCTGTTCTCTCTCACACTTATCCAAGGTACAAATAATTGCGTAAGGTTCCCTCCACTTTTATTTTGTAATTCTATACTTCTGGCCCTTCCCCTCCCAAAAGGCTACTTCACATGTCCAGCCAAATGTTGTAAGATGTCTGCCCTCCTCCGCCCAAGACAGAGTCGGTCCTCCGTGCCACCTGCTTAGTCTCCTGAGTCCGCTCCTGAGTGTAATTTCCCCCATTGGCAGCTCCACTCACCAGGTCAGCGCTACCGATTCTTTTTAGCCTAATTCAGCCCATTCCCCACCCCCACCCCCCAAAATGTGTATATCACTATATGTCTGCAGCTTAGTAAGCTTATTGAAAAAACATTCTTGAGCAAACAAATATGAAGATTGTTTTAGGGGTGAGAGACTGATTTCAACCTGGTTACTTGTTATGGGCGTGAGAGCTTATGAATCTTAAGCTCATGTTATAGATTGTTTTCAGTATCAGTTTCAGAAACGAGGGCTCTGATCTGGGAGTTGAACGCCCTTGCTGTCGTTGATGCCTCACATTCTTAGACGTTTTTTAAAATTTGCTTTCTTAACAGATAAATTACTCACTTCGTTTAAAAACTAACCTTACCAAAAAGACACGCAGTGCAGCAGCCCCCTCCCGTCCGCTCGCCCCCGCCGTGCCCTCCGCACGCCGGCCTCGGCACTGGGCGGCCGCTGTCCTCAGTGTACGTGTGTCCTTCCAGAAATTTGTTATGCAATTAATGGCAAAAATAAAACTATAGAATGTTATTTTTCATTTTTATAGGAGAAGTAACACACATTCTGGAACCCGTTTTTTACCTAATAGATCTTTGCTATGTTTCCATATCACTGTGTAGGCACGTGCCCTGCTCTTTTTTTAAAAGCTACCAAATATTTCGTTGCATCAAAGTACCATAATTTCTGTAGCCACTCCCTCATTTATAATTTTGCTATTATAAATAATGCTGTAATGAATAACCTGTGCAAGCATATCTGTAGGATAAATTCTCAGAACTAAAAGACTTTTGGATCCAATACCCTGAGAATGATAATCTCAAGGTTTTATAAAGAGCTAGCAGGAAGGAAACACCAGTGGGTACTTTACCCTTCAGTCTTTTTGCCCATGTTCTTTTTCTCAGACTTTCAGTCTTCTCATTTCCACTGCCCTGCTTTTCTACTGGGTTTGTCTCTTTTTGACTGTAAGATCATTTCCAGCTACTCAAAGCTAACTCTTGGCTGCTTTCACTATCTTCTTCACAGAAATTTTAGGGTAGTTGACCTAGTAAATATAAGAAATTGAGAACTGGGTGAAATTTTTTCACGCCCACACCGTGGAAGCCATTAAGTGGATTTATCTGAAGAGCAGTAAGTTTTGCAAGGTCTCAGTGATTTGTGTCGCCTTAGTGAAAGCTCACTGTTTTTTCCTATTTGATACTACAAAGTTCTTATTTTAAGATCCATGATTATATAGCAGCACAATGCAATGCAGTCCTCTGCTTGACACTCAAAATTTAATACACCTTTCTTGTTTTGTTTTTGTTTTTTGGTTGGAAAGGTGAAGCCGTAGGTTCAGCCCAACTCTAGTCAGAAATTTTGTTTTGTTTTTGAAAGGAGGGGTTTTTATTGCTCTGTGAAATTCATCAATTTAAATTAAAAGGCTCTGGATTTTATTTGGTTTTGCTCATAACAAATTTTTGACACCTCCTTTTTCCCTTTCCTCAATATTTGAGATTTTTTTCTCTTGTGCATGATAGAGGAATGCTGCTAAGCTTGCAACTAATTAACTTGAAATTGTTTTGAGTAATTCTGCTTTTTTGGCTTTTTGTACCTAATCAGAATTGATGTGACTGAAGTGCAAATCTTCATAATAATCATGCATTTGCTGGCAGTGATTGGAGGACCACCTTTTTGGCAATCTATGGTAATTCTGTTCTCATTGTATATCCCATGTAATGCATGTTGTCTTTTGCTTGTGTTTCTAATATAGGGTAATCAAGTTGAAGGGTGATATGTAAAATGATTTTATCCTTTTGGAAAATGAAAAGTCACAGCAACAGTCGGACACAAACTCCCTTCATGGCGTGGTGAATTTTACTTGAGTTATATGGGACACGTAGATGCATTGCAGGGCTGTTCTTGAAGGCTATCGGAATGATTATTTCTCCTTCCATTTTTATAGCTGAGGAAACAGCAAGTAGTGTGTCAAGTTAATGACTAGATTAAATCAGACCTTTTTTATGCTCTTTCTGAACTCTGTGAGTCTTTTTGGTCGTGTGCTTAAAGCTGAGTAACAAATTTGGGGGAGTAAATTAACTCTGGCCTCAAAGAAGAACAAATGCTGATTGAAGTCAGCGCCATAGGATTTTTTTTTTTTTTTAACAAGCCAGGACCTTGATTTTCAACCTGACCTCAAATATTGTCGCCCCTGCAATCACGGATTCTTTTCCCGAGACGGCTGGGAGAGAGCGTGTGACTTGTGGCACGGGGCGCAGGGCCAGGCTGCCTGCGCCAGCCCCGGGCTCCCCCGTCACTGTGTGCACTTCCTCTCTCACTCAACTCTCCGCCGCCCGGTTTCCTCCACTGTAAAATGAGGACAACACCAGTACCTGTCTCATCAGGTTACTTTGTGGATTAAACGAGTAAATATGTATACAGCACTTAGAACAGTGCCTGTCACATAAGAGGCCCTCCCACATTTCTGTTCTCACAGTTGGACTGTCTCCTTCCAGATCGGAGGTGAAGTAGCTAGTGCTCTGCGGTCCACCTCCCTGCTGATCACTGCCACCAGCCGTTCAGAATACAGGATACGCCATTCATTTGGTGTCACCTTACCAAAAAGATTGACTACTCCTAAGCGGACATAATGCTTAAAAATCAGATTAATTTCAAGCTATGAGGGAAGTTTACTGAGCAAGAGCTTTCCCTTGCCTAAGTCACTTTAGGCTGGTAAAGGAGATACTTGAGGAATCCTAAGAATTTATCACCAGAAATTGTTTAATGCCTTTTACACTTAGAGGAGCGGGGGTAGTATTGTGAGCAGGGAGAAGAAGGAGTAAAAATAACCCATAGTCAACCAGGACAATTTTGAAACTGTTCAGTCATGTACATAATATTCAGATTCACATCCGTCTCAAAAGCCAGTAGGGTCTGTAGTGCTGGTGAAATCTGAGATCTGTAGATTCACTACAGAATTTTGTTACTTTTTGTTCTCCATTAGGTTAATAGTGTGTATGTGTGTGTGTGTGTGTGTGTGTGTGTGTGTGTATATATATATATATGTATGTATATATGTAATTTATATAACTGCCTTTTTAAAACAATTTAGCCATAGAGGAAGGAGAGATTTCCCTTTTCCTAAAACCAGATCATAAAGCCTACTTCCTCTTAAATTTGTTATATCTCTTGACTATATTATTTTCATAGGCTTTGTGTTTTCTACCAAAATCTACCCCCCTCCAAAATTATTTTGAACATCTTAAACATATGTAAATTACCATAGTTTCAGCATAGTAATACACAAAAGGAAAATCATCCAGAAATAAGTCAACATCAGGTATATATACCTAATTACCCATATCAGGTATACTTGCTGTGGGTTTTTTTTTAATTAGGATTTATACGTACAATCTGTACATGCACATAACAAATGTAATTTTTTTCTTTTAAGAGGAGCAAATATTTTGTCCTGTCTGTTGATAAGACAGATAGTATAATCCTCCTTTTTTATGAAATGCTTTAAAAAGTAATGTGAGGGACTCGGATTCAAGACTGCAGCGGAGCTCGCGGACCTGGCATGGCGGCCCAGTCCCGGGCCTAGGGAGGCGGGGTGGCCGCAGGGAGACCGATCTCCAGGCCCTTGTCCTGCTGTTGGCATCACTGGTTCGACTGTTACCATCGTCATATCAGAAGGGAAGCACTTGACATCACAGGTGATATTTGGAAGCTGAGAGAAATATCCTGTGTCCTTTCCCAGCAATTCCCAGTCCAGGATCCCGTAACTGACCTTCGACCCCTGTATTTCACTTTTTCTTTTTTCTTGGCCCTATGCATGCACTGCTGAATATGTTAGCACAGGAAAGATTACTACATGGAATGTTCAACATATTGGTGTGCCAAAATGGAGAGAAGTTTTGTTGAGAGCCTAGATGTGAAATTTTCATCTCTTTTGAGGTTGATGTCATAAAACGGACATTGCTTTTCAAATATTAGTTAAAAAAGCTTTTACTGATATTTAGAAAGCAAACATGATAAAAAACAGTGCGAAAGTCTTCATAAAGCTGATTCCAGAATATCAGCTGTCTTGCAGAGGTAAGCGACTTGTGTCCACTGCCTGTGGACTACCCATTTCTTGTTGCTGCTTTTTTTTTTTTTCCTTCAAAGGGATGAGTTTTTACCAAGGATGTAGTTCATATTGGTTTGGTTGGGTTTTCTTTTGTCTTTTTATTTTTTCCTTTTTTTAAGGGAAATAATATTTTCATGCATAAAAGTCATGCATGGTTTACATGTTGCAAGAAATAAAGCAACACATTTTGTGTGTGTGTGTGTATCGGTTCCCCAAACGTATGCACCTTTTTAGTCTCTTGGAATTATCTTTTATCATATCCCTCTTTAGAAAGGGGGTGGAGAATATTATTACTTTGAAGGGGATCCACAAATAATCCCCCCCAATCACTCTCACTGCCATTTGATTTTTTCTAAATGTAGTAGTCGATTAAATGTATATTAAACCGTGAGACACCATGTTCATTAGGGGAGAACTCAACGACCTACTAGGTAGTGTAATTTATATCTCATTCCTAAACTAAAAGATTTAAGTGGGATTTTTCTTAAACACTTACTGGATGCTAACTATTGTTACGTTGTAGTTTTATGGAGTTCACGTCTATTATTTACAAATAGTCATATCTCATATTTTTTGGAAGTATCTAATCTCAAAATGATACTTTCTATTTTTGTTGAAATTTACAAAGCCTGTAAGAACTTTTTATTACGCTCATAAGAAAACTAGTCTAACAGTTTAGTAACTGATATTCTACATTAACCCAAATTATTACCAAAACATGGGTCCATTGTAATCTGGTAAATTGGATGGTTTAAGATCTTTTTTTCCATTTCTAACCTTTCAAAACAGGAATTACAGTAGATTGACATTATTTCGGACACGGGGTTTCATGGCATGAATCCAGGGCTTGCCGCTGAGGGCAGGCACCACAACCCACCCTGCCCTTTCCAGCCTGAGAGCTGCCCGGGCTCCGGATGGGCCTGGGATAGAGGTGTTATCATGCCGCTTTCTGGCTGCCTCTGCAGATTGGGTGCCCTTTGGCCACCTTCGATGAGTTCCAGGAGGACAGAAAGAGAAAGATTGGGAAAGACAGACTGCGCCCACCCCCCTGAGGTTTGCATGTGAGGTGAAAATGGCCACACTTGCAGCGCTTTGTGGAAGTGCTTCAGTTGGTGCCGATTTTTAAGGGATCCTCTGGAGAGTCTTGGGATCCCTCTGACCCCAGCTCTCCCCTCGCTCTGCCTCAGATTTTCTGGTAGCTAGCTACCTTTTTCCTTCTCCATGTGGGGCAGGGTGTTTTGTTTTTTTTTTAAATCCTCAGTTGAGTGTATGTTCATTGATTTTTAGAAACATCCATTCTTTACCTCACATACGCGCCCGACTGGGAACCGAATCTGCAACGTAGGTATGTGCCCTTGGCCAGGAATCGAACCCACAGCCTTTTGGTGAAGGGGGTGATGCTCCAGCCAACTGAGCCACCTGGCCAGGACAAGATGTGTCTTTATACTCTCAAAACAGTAATTCTACTTAGTAGGAAAAAGGGAAAACATCTCCATTCAACAAGTACATATTGAGCCCCTACAATATCCAGGGCTCTAGAGAGAATATAAAAGTCAATTCAAACAAAATCCTACACTCAAGAGCTTTATGTTTTGGTGTATGTAGCTATCATATGACAGAAGCGAAAGAGGGTGCTAAGAATGTTTATGACACTCGCTTCCGAGCCTGTGTGTGCTTGCCTGCTTGGTGGTCCAAGCAATTTACTAATTTGCCTGGCTTTTCTAATGTTCCTGTTCATTCTCCCTTCTTCCAAAGGTCAGCCATTTCCATGACCCAAAAGCATCTTCCAAATTTTGAGTCCAGCCGTGGCGCTGTTTTGGTTCATTTGTGGCACCGATCACTGCCACGGCTGAGCAGCCACTCGGGCCGCTGGCCCAGATGGAAGAGGCCCCTGTCACTCTTTTGCTGCTTTTGAAATCTGGGGAGTGTAGTATTTCCCTCTTGCCAGACTGGTCCTTTGTCATGGGAAGGAAAAGGAAACCACCCATCTATTGAATTTCAGCCAGGTGCATCTGATCGAGATTTTCATATTGCTAGTTTTCTGAACTGTAGCAGAAGATTCTCTTGGAGTTCAAAGCACCCATGGTGTTGGTTTTCTCTTTTATGGAAAACAAGGTTTGGCTTGAGTCTGTAGGGTTTGGAGCTTGCTCAGGAAAGGAAGACAGCCATTCAGGATGGCCCGTGAGTCCTGGGCTTGATTTTTAAGTTGACCTATTTCGTTTTAGACTCTTAAACACTGCGACAATACAACTTGAAATTTGAACAGTTGGTTTCAACTTTTCTTTTTAGAGTTGCAGTTTTGCAAGAGGTCATAGAGTTGTGTAAACAAACTGAGTTCTCGAGAATTTTGAAGAAATTAATGATCTAAACATTAAGATTTATATCTACCAATTTTACTGCAATTTTATTCATACAAAGGAAACTTCGCATTTCCTACTTGATTTTAAAAGTGTAGGCAGATGATAGCCCTACAAAGAAGTGTGAACAACCCTCATTAAAATGTCCTTATTGTAGGAACTCATTACCTATTAAACTGTTGTAGGTGTTTGGAATCTTGTTCCTATAGTCATTTGTTTCCGCTATTCGGCCACGTCATTTTACTGTTGCTTTCTTTTCAATCCACATTGGACAAAATTTCAGAAAAGCTAAAGTATAGCAGTATAGAAAGGGAGAGATTCTTAAATGATGTTCAGTATTAATACAAGTACATTTCATTTTAAATGATGGATTTGTACTTGTCTGATTAATACATGATCTCAACCTATTCCGTCCCCCTTATTTTAGGTAAATCAGTCATTTTCAGTATACTATAAAAATGTATCATTTACTTCTCCTGAAAAGTAGGTTTCTATGATAGGACTTTGGACACCCAGTTGTAGAGCTGTCCCACTACTTGGTGTGCTGGCCGCGCCCCACCCCCACCCCCCACCCCGCTGCATGTGAACGCCTTCTTAGTCACCCGCTGCTTTTGCCAGCTGCCCGAACCCTAACAGTTTGGCCTTGGAGCTCTTCTGAGTAGCACTTCTGTCCTCCCTTCTCCAGTTTACAGGCTTTTTTCAATCAAATTTTTTAGTCTTTTATTATCCATGCTTTACCTATCATAACAGTGAGTAATAAATTACAGTTGGAGGTTGAGTTAAACAGTGCACAAGGAGGGCGGCCAAGTACACTTCTTTGGTAAACACCGGAAGGCAGCTTGGGCCACTGTTGCCAGACGGCTGGGATGTGGTGCGTGAACCCTACTTAGTGTGTGGCTCAAAGGAATGAAGTTGGGTCTTTTTTTTTTTTTTTAATTGATGTCAGAAGTGAGATTAATTTCTGTGTAGCATCATCTGGTGACTTGTTATATTGCTTATAATGGGAAGGAGAGGGAAACTTCCATTAATTTAAGTGTTTACTAAACTGGAGGGCATGGTGAACAAATCAAGAGTATGAATTGAATGTTCTATTTTCTTATTTTAATTTGTATATATTTTAATTGTTCTTTCTCTGCCTATTAAAGATTCCAGTGCTGAATATTCAAGTGAAAATTTTTCCTGCACTTTGTACGGTAGCAGGGACCATATTTTCCTGTACGAATTACTTCCGTGTAATCTTCACAGGTGGTGTTGGGAAAAACGGATCAACGATCGCAGTGAGTATATCTTAAGATTCCCAGTGATAATTTATGCTTTTGTGGTCCCTTTGTTTTTCATTTGAATTGTATGAAATCACTTGTTAACTAAGAGTTTCCATTTAGTCTTAAAAAAAGTAACATCCAAAACTTCAGTTTTATTTATACACGCGTACATTTATGTTCTTATATGTATATTTTTGTGACATGCGCACACACACTTTTATATACATATGTTAAAAAAATATGGCCTTCTTTATAAAATAATCCTGGTCTCGTAGAAGTAAAATCCTCAGTTTGTGCCCAGCCAACGCAGGCTGCCACTTTTCCTTAGCTGTCCTGAAGTTCCATTATAGAGCCGGCTGGCCGTCAGGCTCCCTGAGGATCTTAAAAGTGTGAGTCGATCGCCCGCAAATACCGTGCGTTCCTCTCCTCTCTGCTCTGCCTAGGGAACAAGCGTCCTTTCTCCCTTCCTCCACATTGGATCCGTGATTACATTAGCTGTGATGATCTACAAGAAATCAGCAGTCCAGCTTTTTGAAAAGCATCCCTGTCTTTATATACTGACGTTTGGTTTTGTATCTGCTAAAATCACCAATAAGCTTGTGGTAAGCATGAAAGTTTTTGGTTTTCATTTTCATCTTATTTTGATTTTATGCCATAGTTTTCACCCCATAGTGTACTGAGGTGTTAGTGCTAGAGTTTGCTCTCCTCTGATCAAAGTCTCTTGACATCAGCGTGGGAGCTGTTCATATCTTCTGTGAAGCTGCAGTGAGATCATCAGCAGCTCCCTGAACCACTATGACTCTCCTGCTTTCTCTCCACAGTTTTATTTGGGTATTTTGTTTATCTGCATCCTTCAGTCTCAGTCTCTACACTCTAAGTAGGTTTCCTTGTGAGAAGCCGCTTTTGGGGGCTTAGTGGACAACCTGGTAGGTCCCTTTGCTGTATAACTCTCACATACTTCATGTTGTCAGTGTTTTAGTTTTGAAAATTTAACAGATACTGCTAAAGAATTCTTGAAACTTGGTATTTGAGCACGAAACAGGTGTACTGTGTAGCTCCCAATTGCTGCAGTGTGGTTCTCTTTTATTCCCAGGTGGCGCACATGACTAAAAGTGAGATGCACTTGCACGACACAGCGTTCATAGGCCCAGCACTTTTGTTTCTGGACCAGTATTTTAACAGTTTTATTGATGAATACATTGTACTTTGGATTGCCCTGGTGGGTATTGTATTTCATGATGTGGAGGCTGCTTATTTTCTTGTTTCCCTGGGCCAGTGCTGAGAGAGAGGTCTTATAGCTGTAATGGTTTGGAATGTCAAAACTACATTGATGGGACTTTGGTGAGAGTTCCTTGTGGCTTTGTCTTCAAGCCATTTTTTGCATTATTATTACTTCTGCCTGCATTAGGGCTTATAAATTCCACATTTCTGGCAGGAGGTGGCAAACTACACCATATGGGCCAATGGCCTGATTTTGTAAATAAAGTTTTATTGAAACACAGCCGTGGCCATTCAAGTATGTATCGTCTGTGGCTGCTTTCATGCTACAGTGGCGGAGTTAAGCATTTGTGACAAAGACAGTGTGGTCTGCAAAGTGTGAAATAATGAACTGTGACTCTAAGAAAGGGCTTGTTGGTCCTTGACGTAAAAGAAGAATCAGTGGGATACTGAGTTACTAACCTGTATGGAGCTGAGGGTGAGTCTGAAGAGCAGAAAGTCAGAAGCCGGACCATCTCACCTTCAGGAAGCTTAGGGATGGCCTGGGCGGGTCCTGAGAACCCATCTAATAGTCCCTCTTCTTTCCAGGTCTTCTCTTTCTTTGATTTGATCCGCTACTGCGTCAGTGTCTGCAATCAGATTGCGTCTCACCTGCACATACATGTCTTCAGAATCAAGGCCTCTACAGCTCATTCTAATCACCACTAGGGGAGGAACTGCTGTTAGACAGGAAGCTCATGTTTTCTGCAGGAAAGAATCTGAGAGCGGGGAGGACAAGAACAAATGTAATTTATAATAATCAATGTTGTATAACTTTTATTCTTTGTTATTGGTAACACTCCGTAACGGTCCTGTGTGAGAATGGGAATTCCAAGTCCTGCCCTTTAAATTGAACATGTTGATAATACAGGGTTTGGCCCAAGAAAGCGTGCAGGAAAAAATGCGTGTTGGTAACTATCTGGATTCAGAATAAAATTGTCATGGCGGGGCAGATCCCCAGTGGCGATTTCTTATGTAGAATATTTGCAGGCCAAAAGACGGTTGCTTTACAATTTTAACAAATCAGCTATCAGTGACATCTTTGTTTAGTGTCTTCTCAACCTGTCTTTACTAAGGAGCTCAGCTTGCGGCACAGATGTATCCCACTAGCCTGTGAGGGGGACCTGGTGATAAAGACCTTGAATTTGGATGGAAAGGTTTCCCATCTTCGCACTGTGGAGGAAGTCATTTTTTTTATTGTTCTAGAAACTGTCTCTAGCGGGCTGGGGAACCCTGTCAGCATGCCGAATAATGTGGTACCTTTGTTGATCCATTTTATTTTTTTAAATAAATATATGATCTGAAAGCCAGCCTTTTCCTCAGTTTTATTCAGTGGAAAGATAAACTAAGTTTTAATGTCATTTTTAAGAATTTAAGCAAAATTTATTTCTGTTCTTTAATAAATAAGAAAATTTGGTCAGCTGCATTGTCGTTATGTGTCCTGTGACCTTTCTATTTTGTGTAAACTGTTTAACTTAAAACAGAACTGGTTCAACCTCTTGATAGGCTTTTTTTTGTAGTTGTCACCCTGCCCCTCCCTCCAAAGACATTTGCATTCCCCTTTGTCTAGAGTTCTGGGGCCTCTGAGGGGACACACACACACACACACACACACACACACACACGATGGAGGTCTGGGGCCTCTGAGGACACACACATGATGGAGGTTTTAAAAACACACACACACACACACACTCTGGAGGTTTTAAACGATGGAGGTTTTAAAAACACTCTCTCTCTCTCTCTCTCTCTCTCTCTCTCTCTCTCTCTCTCTCTCTCTCTCTCTCAGTTTTAAAAGACGACGCTTCTAAAAGTTCGCCGTCCTTTCCACTATTTCAGCAGAAGGCAGTAAAGGTATAGAGGGAAGGTAGACAGGGCGACCACTGAACTCCTTTGGATGCTTAGGATTCTCTTTTCTCAAGAGAAATAAAGTCAGGGCGGGGATCCCTCTTAATGACTAGAACTGGGTTTCCCAAAGTAACAAGTAGGAAGTTGGGCATCTGAAACTGAAGGTTCTGAACTGGCGGTGCTGGGCCAGCGGGCCTGGCGACGGAGGCGGTGAGCGCGGGTTCTGCCCTGGCTCCCGTCCCCGCAGTTCCAACCCTCAGCCGCCCTGGCCTGCAGCTGGGATGCAGGAAAGCGCGGGAACGGCTGCCCTGTCCCCGGTGGTGCGACTGCTGCTTGGGCCCGTATCCCTCACCCTTCCTGTTGGGGGTGGAGGTGGGGACCCCTAGGATTCTGCAGCTTCAAACACAGCCTAGAGCTCTGGGCCCCTAGGACCAGCACCCCCCGCCACCTCCGGTACCGTGTATTCTCACACCTCTTCCCGTGTTTTCCTGATCCTCCCCCAGTAGTAGAAGCCAGAGGTAACACGTATGAACAAGATTTTCATTTTATTATCCTCATCTTCGCGTGTCCACAACGCCTTCCCTGGAGGACTGTGTGACAGCAGTCCCTGGGACAGGTTGGTGGCAGCAGCTTTAACACCTGTGCGCCGCTGTTTCCTGCTCCGCGGCGCCTCTGCAAAGGGAGCCCTGCTCTGCGAGCAGTGGCCCGAGCCGCCCAGCGTCCTGAGAAAGCCGATTCTGGGGGTCCCAAGCTCAAGACACCGGCGGGGAGCGAGACTTGGAGGAAGACGGGACTCCCGGGCCGAGCGCTGCGCCGATCCTACCGCGTGGTCCCGGCCAAAGTCCAAAACTGGCCTGTAGCTCTAGCCCCCACTGTTCACCACAGGCCTTACTTCACAGTCTTTTCCCTTGAGTTCTTGTGTTTCTTCTGTTCCTCATATTCAAGTATTTTCCGTTGGAAATAGCCTGTGGGTTCAGATGCAGGTGTCAGAGGTGCCAACCTGGCCTGGAGGACCCAGGAGCTCGGGGACCAGGATCAGAAAGAGGCTTTCTGTCCTCTGCTCCCCAAGCTCCCCTTGCTACTCCCACATTCTTGCAGGGGAACTCCCACACCCTCCACGCCTCTGGAGAGCCACTGTTCACTCGGCCCCAAAACAGGCCTACGACGAATAATTAGTAGGAATTAGCTCCAGACTCAAAGAGCAAGGGCCTCTGCTGAGGAGGAGAATGGCTTCTACAAAATGTCAGCCCCGGGGCACTTCCTAGGGCTTCCCCACTGGTAAGATCACAGCCATTCCTGGGGCCACACTGCTGTGAGGGGCAGAGACGCTGTGGGCTTAGGTGGTGGGTACCTGCAGGGGGGTTCTTGCTCTTCTCAGCTTCCTGGATGAAAAGCGAGAAGAGCTGTGTCTTCACAAACTTCTTCACGAATCGCCGCTTGGCCTTGGAGGTCAGAGCCTTACAGAAGGCCCGTTCCTGGAAGTGGCCTTGCCCACTTGCGTCCCGCTTGATATAGGAAGCGTAGTGACCCACAGTCTTGACAAAGAACTGCACAAAAGGGCCTGAAACATGCTCGTTGATTTTTTCTGAAGCTGCAAGGGGACATACAGAGGCCACCTCAGGGTGGCAGAAACAGGCTGAAAGCTCCGGGGAAGGGGAAAAGGCGGGGGGAGGGAGGGCGCTCGTAATTACTGATTGACTCGTTAAAATGGGACGCTCGGCATGGGTTCCCAGCCACTGCTGAGGAAGAAGAAAAGCTCAGACTTGTCCCAGGATCCAGGCCTCTGGGACTGGCCCAGGCCTGCTGAGTAGGTTCATTTCAGGACCGAAAGGGGACGCTTGGGAATCACGCCTCCAGGGTCTCCGGAGACACCCCAAATAAGAGGGGCGTAGGACTTACTCTCTAACTCACTGATCCCCTGCCCAAGAGAGTTCAAGATGTCGTCCTGAAGCTTGGGTGGCAGGATGTCTTTTTCGTCGCCAACCTAGGAGGGGACAGAGTCAGCTCAGTGGTCCAGCAGTCAGGGAGCAGGTGTGAGGGGAGGTGTTGGCAGAGACAAGGGCCTGTCTGCATGCCCCACTCCACCCCCAAATCAATAATCGGCCACACAGGAGAGGAACAACAGAAGCTGTTTCTTGGTCTTCAGCTTGACGGTCAACAGTAAGTTTCCTCTCTACCCCTCTGGCCTTCCTTAAAGGCACTAGTGTGGATTGCCTTGCTGTGATGTCACCTGGGTGCCTGTAAGTCTGTCATGGGCTCCTTGCGAGAGGACAGGTCCCGTTAGCATAGGTTCTCGCTCAACAGAAGTACTTTAGTTGAAATAAGCGGAGCGTGGGTGCGACTAGAGTCATGGAGTCAGTGGGGCCTACAGGGGACCGGAACCCAGGTACTCACTGACTTTAAGAAGGTTCTTTCACAAAGATTCACCAGCAGGACCTGAAATAAACACAGAAATGGCTTTATTGCTTCCCCTGTCATCCCAGACCTCAGGGGGACCTACGGTGTCCATTTCAGCCCAAGTAACAACAAGATCAGCCTCTTCGATCCTCATTTCCTGTCCCACACTCCCTTGTCACCATTCCCTTTGGAAACCTCAGTTTCCTTCCTGGGGAGAGGGGATGAGGGTGTGGGAGAGGGAAAGGGGACACGGCTGGGAGAGGAGGGGAACGCAATGTGGGGGCACCATAGTCAGTCCCGCCCTTAGTTAAGCATAGTAATTGCTTCTGTAGATGGAACATTCAGAACAAGGTAAGCGCTTTGCACATTTTATCTCATGTAACCCAACAGTCCTGTGGAGGCAGGTACTATCCCGACTCAAAGCAGTTGCCTGAGGTCAGACTGCTGACAAATAGAGCCACCCTCCTCAGGGTGGCACTCCTGTCCCCACACGCGCATTCAGCCCCCTCCCTCGGGTCAGCGTTAGGACAGGGATGGACATCTTTTCCCTTTTACATGCTTGCAGCAGGCTAAAAGCTCCCTCGGAGCTTTGGGAAACAGCAAGAGAAGGAAATGGGTGCAGGGTCAGCAGGAAGAGGAGAGGAACGGTAGTGAGGGGACCCCGTGTCCACAGGCTGCAGGTGAGGCCCGCGCCGCGCTGGGCGCGGGGGCCTGACTTCCGGTCCAGCTCCTTCGCCGCCGAGAGCGACAGGACAGCGCCATCCCACTGTCGGGTTCCAGCCTGCGATTTCCTTTGATCCTCAGAGCGTTTCCAAATAACTGACTTTGTTCCCAAGGTTTAAATGGGAAAATTTCACGTAAAATTCGGATTTGGGGCTTTTTGAAAAGTCAGGCAGTCTCACGCTGGTCCTCATTGCTCAAGAACAACATCCGGGGGGAAGCCAGTGCAGCTGCCCCGTGGGCGGGGCGCACGCTCAACGGTTCGCCACGACCCCCCCCCCACCAAGGCCCTGGCTGGTCACTTCGATGCCTGCTGGGCTCCTCTTTTCAGTTTGGACCCTTGCTCTTGACAATGGGGTGAACGATCCCTCTGTGCTCCCTCCTTCCAAAAAGAAGGAAAAATGGGGACTGGAAAGTGTGTCGAGACAGAGCAGGCCCCTTCATGAGCGTGGGCAGGGGAGTCGAACCAGCCCACGTCTGAAACCACTGTGTACATGGGCTGAGGTGCCTTGGCTCAGGGAAGGGCATTTGTTTTGGGGGTTGGGAGCTAAGTGTGAGAGTAAAGAATTTTTCTGTGTGTAAAGTTGTTCCCCCAAAATCTTTCTAGTACTTGGGTATATTACTGCCAAGTAATCCCTTCCAGAAAGCTTACGTGGGGAGCCAGGAAACCCACACACCCCCGGGAGGCCCTGCCCGTCTCACAGAGCAGCTGCCGAGGCGGAGAGCAGGCCACGGCTGTGGGGGGCAGGAGCCCGAGTCCCGCTGGCCTTGGGGTGTCTCCCCACCGGCCGCCTGGGGAAGGAGCCACCGCTTCTGAAACACTTGAGCTGCAAGGTCAGGAAGTTTCATAACTAATGATTTGGGGACATTTTAAACCTTATTGCTAAACACAGAGCTGACACTCTGTCCCAGTTAGTCACGAGGCAAGGGCTCGTTCAAAGGGCGTGTGTACTCAGCAGTTCTGAGGACAGCGGGGAGGGCCAGGAAGCAAGGAAGGGAACTATTTCTTTCCTTCCCAGCAGCACTCTGGGCTCTCCCTGTGCCTCCGAAATGTCCCTGGAGTTCTCTGGACCTCACTTACTTCCTATGCAAATGGGGAAGCCCTCCCTCGCGGCTGACTCCAGACCTCGTCAGTGGCCTACTTCTAGCCTCTTCCCCTTGGCTGGAGCCAGAGGCAAGGTTAGGCAGCGCAGACACACAGGCCTAGCAACATGCTCTCTCTTGACAGTTCCTACTGACAGCTCAAGCAGGACACAGGTTTTGAGTTGTCCTTCTGACATGGCTACAGAGATCTGCCTTTTTGAGACTCGGTTTTCAGTAATGGCTACATTCATTAGCTCATGTCCAAGGAATGTGAGTGAATTCCAGGGAGGTGTGTGTTGTAGAGACCAGCTGTGCTCATCCATTCAGATGGGACAGGGGTCACATCAGAGCCTGCTCAGGGGGACCAGCTGGCCTGGGACAGTCAGATGACCCCTCAAGAAGCTACGTGCTGCCCGTGAAGCCCAAAGGGAAATCACTGTGGAGGAATGAGCTGACGCTTACTGAGCGTCACCTATGTGTCGGCACCAGGCGAGGAGCTCTGCGGGGGAGATTTCCCCTAGAACCCCGACGAACTGGACACTGTCACCCCCATTTCGCAGAAGCAGCAGCTCAGGGTTCAGGAGGTAGAGCAGCTTGTCCCAAGCCACACAGCCCTGAGGAGCAGAGCTGGGATCCGAGTCCAGGTCTGCCTGGCCCCGCATCGCGGCTCCTCCTTGCTGCGCCGTACCTCTTCCATGGGGCTCTCCATAACCTCCTGCTGAAAGCGCATTTGGACTCCGACCATGAAGGGGGTGGGGCAGCAGACAGTGGCCAGAAGGCTCTCGGGGACAACAGGGATGTAGGTGTGTGCCCAGCTGAAGGGGTAAAGCAGCGCGGCGGCAGCGTGGATACACTGAGACAGGGTGCTGGGGACAAGGCACAGAGAACGAGAGTCAGAGGGGCCTCCCTTGCCTCCACCCGCCCCCGTACCCCCACGCTGCCCACCACCCACAGCGGCTGCTTCGCCTGCGGCCCGTCTGGTGCAGAAGCAGGCCTGGGCGCCATGCTGGGCACATGGGACTCTTCGCAGCTGGGAGGGGAGGGGCAGAGACCGAGAGAGGCTTTGTTCCTTATTTCTCAGTCTTCTGAGCTCACTACGGGGCAAAAATGAAAGTGGCTCTAAAGAGAAGAGGGAAGGAGGCATGTCTTCACGCAAACGGATCATTGGTGGAGCCCCTTCCGTGTGCCCAGCACTGTGCTAAGGGCATGGATACCAGGAAGTGCAAGACACTGAACTGCTTTTAAAGAACTCAGTGTCGTTAAGGAGGCAAACATGTAAACACTGGGACTCAGTGTTTACCTCTCACGGCTCCCTCTGGCCACTGGAGGTTATTCCAAGTTACCAGGCCAGTGCCTGAGTTAGCTTGGGAAATTCCTGGATTCCAGGAACCTCACCCAGCAATTTCTACCCGGAAAGTCCCGCAGAGGGCTCTCGCCGCTTTCCAATGAAGCCTTCCCTGGGTCATTGCTGCCTAAGTGGCCCTTCAGGTCAACTCCTCACCCCCCACCAAACCGCACCCATACACACACACACATAACCCCACTCTCTCTTCCCTGTTTCTCACCAGCTTCCACAGTTCCTCCTCTCTCCTGGTGACCTCCCAAACCTCAGCCAATAAAAACACAGATGCGGAAACCTTGTTCCAGTTCTTGGTATCAAGCTAGCATAGCACTTCCTGAGTGAGGCAGTGTCTCCGAGAGCCTTGCCCGGGCTCAGGCTGCCTGGAAGTCCCCTCCCTGCCTGCATTTCAGGAATCTGACCAAGGGTGTGGGAAGGAAGTGGGGAGAGGTGGGATTTCCCAGAGAAAGTTGGGGACCGAGAGGGAAGTCCTGGCAGCCTTCGCCCCTGGATGGCTGCTGGCACCTGCGGTCACATTCACTTCCTGAGTACTGATCTGAGGGGACGGGCGAGCATCCCAGCTCCAGCCGTACGGAGACTTCGCCTTTCCCTGCAGGGCTGGGAGGGAACCGGCTATTTCCAAAGCACAAGGTTATACCACTTCCCTCGAGGATTTGCCAGCAACTAGTGCCTTTTTGTTGTCATGGATTTTTATAGACTGTTCAACCCACTCCCTGCCCAAGCTTCCTTCTCTCTCTAAAAGCCATGACATTCCCCTGACCCTCTCTGGCCTAACATTTGGGTCCCTAACATCCTCTTCTCCTTCTTCTTCTTCCCTAAAAGGTAGAGCCAGCCCAGTATCACCGGCTTTCTCTGTCCCCAGGCAGGGAGAGAAGGCTAACCTCCTACCGTTTTGTGATTTTATTTCCTTCTCCCTCTGTCACGTGTCTCTCCATGTGTCTCTCAGACCAAGACATGCCAGTGCTCTGCTTCAACTACACACAGGGATATACTCAACTGGGAGCTTATTATTAAGAATAACAGCTCTCACTTACTAACATGTACCTGGCAGGGTGCGAGGTGCCTAATGTGAACTATTTAATCCCCACCACAACCTTGTCAGATGGGTTTGATCATTTCCCCCCCCATTTTACACATAAGAAGGTCATGACTTCAAGAAGTGAAGGAGCCAACCTAAGGAAACGACGTAGCTGAAGTGGAAGAACAGGACATGAACCTCGTTGTGCTGATCGAACACCTATGCTTTCCACCCCTAGAGAATTCTGCATCCCTTTAAGGTTGAAGACTGTGTCTTGTTTGCCTGTATCCTCCTGACTGCTTGGCATATGACAAACAGCTGACACACAATAAAAGCTGAATGAGTGATTGGGTAGATGACATGTGTTTGTCATTATGGATAATGGCCTTGACCTTGATACTATTCTGTGCCTTCCTGCCCTGTCCCTGTCCTCCTTCCCTCCCTCGGCCTTTCAAGAGCAGAATTGTATCTGCCTCTACCCACAGTGTGTCCCTGGGACATGCCAGAGGCTTCTCAGAGCTAAATCGGAAACCTCCTTCAGGTTTAGGCAGCAGTCAAGTTTGGAGGCAGAAGCAGCGCAGATCAAGACCTAGAAACAGGAGCGCACGGGTCCTACAGCTCTGCTTCCTTCAAGGGCCTCGCGGCTGTTCCCTTGAACCCGAGGATGCCATGCAGCGCAGGTGAGCTGCTCAGCGGCTGGACCCACCTGAGACCTTCTGCCAGGAAGATGATTCTTCTCTCCAGCACCGCCGAGGCAAAGATCTGAAGAATCTGTTCAAAACTGAGACACTGCAGCAGAGAACTAAAATCCACGTGTTCCAGGTGGGAGTCCAGGGGCCGCGTCAAGGAGATGAACTTGGGGAAACCAGAGAGAGAAGGTGTCGCCACACTGAAACTCCTTGCAGACCCCCGAGGGCTGGGCCCCTGCCGGCCTCCACCGTCCCCACAGGGGTGGGTCTGCGCCTGTCTCTCCCCTGCGAAAACCCAGCCATGGGTTCCCTCTGCCTGGGAGTAACCGAGATGTTATCATCCCTCGCATGGTCCACGAGGTCCTGCCTCTGGCCTAGCCTCACAGAGCACGTGCCACCTCCCTGGCTGAGCTTGGCCCCATCACCTCATTCCTGTCCCCGAGCACGTCCCACACTCCCCGACCCAAGGGCCTTCGCGGGCTAGGACGTCCCTGCACTGTTCTTGTCCCTTCTCCCCTGTCCTCCCTCTTGTCTCAGAGGCCTTCCTGGGCCACCTGGGGTGATGAGTGTTCTCTGTCATTTCTCACGTAGCATCTTGGGTCCCCCCCCCCCTTCATCACAATCACAGAGTCTTTAATTATGTATTTGTCTGTTTCCTTAACACCCGTCACCCCCACTGGACTTTCGGCTCCATGGGGGCAGGGATCATGTTCATTTTATTCACCACGCCAGAGCCAGAAATGAGCAAAGCTCGGTGCCAGGCAAGCATTCCGTACTTATTTTTTGAGTAAGTGAAAGAGCCCAGCCCTCCTCTTGTTTACATATGGGGAAGCCAAGGTTCAGGGGGACCCACAGGTCATCCAGGGGAACAGGGGCCGGCACCAGAATTCTGAAAGCAATGTTCTGGATGAATGGTGACGGAAGGAGGCTTGACTTGGGGTGGTGAGCAGACAATACAGTGTGCAGAGGATGGGCTATGGATTGTGCACCTGAAACCTGTATAATTTTGTTAACCAGTGTCACCCCAATAAATTCAATAAAAGAAAAAAAAAGCTATTAAATTAAAAAACAAAAACAAGAACCAGTGTTCTACTTGCTGCTTTGTCTGCTTAGTGCCTCAAAACAATGGCATCCCCCTGTGCAGCACGGGTGGGGGCTCAGGGGACTCAGGTGATAAAACAAAGACAGAGGGAGCCCAAAGGTAGAGACATAGGACAATGAGGGTGGGGCGTGGGGGCTAGTGGCAGGTTGGGGGCTAGGGGCACAGTCTATTCTAGCTCTGGGAACCTCCGCTTGCATGGTTTCTTTGTTATAAATAAAGGTCTTGGCAGCTTGAACACTGGATAATAGGTCCTCAGGAGCATCAGGTGGGGAGGATCGGAAAACATGGGTTTGACTTTCTGCTCTGCCAACAAACGAAGCCAAGACCCGGTTCCGAGCCTGGCTCCGTCTCTCTGCGTGCTAACCCCGTGAACGGAAGGCCTGTGCTTAGAGATGCCGGAGAAGCCTGCCCCGCAGCGGGGGCGGGCCTCACTGTTTCTCCACACCCACCTCAGTGCCCGAGTCAGGGATGAAGCTCTTGAGAGTGACGGTCTTCCCGGGAGCAGGGAAGGTCGCCTCCCGGAGGCCCTGCATGAACGGGTAGATGACCGCCATGGAGATCTGATGCCTCTTCTCCACCTCATCCAGGATCTGCGTGGAATAGGACCGCGGGAGGCGTGGCTCAAAGGGAGGCGACCACGAGGGTGGCAGACGCCCGTGGGTGAGGCTCCCGCGGGGGTCCCGCCGATCTTCATGGCTCTTCCCGGCCCATTACCGGCTGGTCCTTTCTCCTCCCTCTCTAGTGCTTTTCCCAGCCTCTTCTTTTCATCCTCCCTCAACCCACCCATATTCTCCCTGCTCCTAACATCGGCACCAGCTGCCTTCTCCAGGAAGCCATCCCCAAGGAAAGGCATCGACCATGGGGGTGCCATGTTCATCCACACTGGGTGCAGTGGGAGCATGGGCGCCGCTCTGCCCTCCACCTTCCACCGGATACTCCCCAGGGCCGGGCACAGCCTCTGACCCTCAGCACCACGCACAGACGAATGCTCCGCCCAAGCAGGGGCTGACGGAGTTCCCTGCCTTTGTCCTCCAAGGGGCCTGCTTGGGGCAGAGCACACGTTTGTGGCCACCAAGACACACGCCTTCAATTCTGAGGGCCCACTCCAACCCCAACTCAGGGGTGCTGGCTTTCAAAGGGGCTCCAGCAGGAAAAGTCCCCGAGACCTCGACGTCCCTTCTGCCCTGGAAGGAGTCGGAGGGAGTCTGAAGTTGTATAATTGTCTCCACATTTCTTAAGAGCTCTGCCTTTCTCACAGATCACCTCCCCAGAGCTCCACACCAGCAGTGAGACAGGAAGGTGCAGGGTCATTATATGCACTTGATAGACTAAGAAACTGAAAACTCCTGATCCCTGCCCTGGGGCCCCTCCCACTGTCCCTCCAGCTGCTTTCTGACCCGACCAGAGTGGGAGACCTGGGCACTCGGCAGGTCAGGTGGTCCCCTGGATTCAGTTCTCACTTTTCTCTAAAGTCAGGTGGAGCCCGAGCCCCGCTCTGCCTCGGTTTCCCACCCTGGGCCTCGCCTGACCCCAGCTATGAGGGCGGCGCTCCCTAAGGGCTTAGGGAGCTCGGCGGGGCAGGCAGCCAGGCAGGCCGGGGAGCTGAACAGGCCCAACAGGGCCCCGAGGAATCCCGCTCGGGCCCTACCTTGGAGAACAGGCCGAAGCAGCCGATGCGGCTGATGATGCAGTACACCTTGGGGAGCCGAGGGCCAGGGCCGGCGGGCTGGGGGACAGAGAGCCTTCTTCAGGGCTGCGGCCTCCCCAGAGCCTTCGCCCACCCACCTGCCTCTTGCCCCCGCTCCGCCCCACCCTCATTTTCCTGTGCCTGTCCCATATCTCTACCTAGGCCTCCATCTGTCTATTTTTTATCACCTGTCCCCGCCCCTGAGTCCCCACCCACAAGGCTGGTGGCTGGGGCTGGGGGACTCATGGTCAAAGGTGGGCCGTGTGGAAGGCGGCCTGGCTGTACAGAGGTCCTGTTCACGGCCCTGGGAGCAAGGCGGCCAGAGCGGCCACCGAAGTCAAAGGGGGCTGGCGGGCCCACAGGCAAGCACTGCCGTCACCTGCGGTCCAAGGAGGGAGGGGTTTCCTCATCCCTGTGTTGCAGGGATGAGGAAGGGGCGAGGGAGGACAATGCTGTGAAAGTGACCTGAAGACTCCAGAGAGCCCAGAGTAGATGTTCAAATCCCGGTCTGTGCTCTGGGAGGCTCCCGAGGCCAGGTCTGAGAAGGCCGAGAGGACTAGGTCGCAGTCTCCCACTGAGAGCAGCTGGTGTGAGTCGGGAGAGCAAAGACCACAGCAGCGCCGGCAGAGGGCCCCTGGGCGGGCGGGCGGGCAGGGGCCTGTGTCCCTGTCCCTGTGGGGCCGCCGGGGGCACTAACATGGCAGCCGGCGGGCGCCGGGCTGCACTCTCTCTACAACCACCCCTGCCAGGGTCCTGGGCTTTGGCCGCGGAGGCTGGAGCATGCCCAGCTGTGCGGCCGAGCAGGCTGCCGAGAGGAGGGGGCAGCTCTGAGCTGCACAGACCAAGAGACGCCGGCAGTATCCGATCTTCCTGCTCCCGTCCACGTTGGTCAGGACGAAGGAGAAGGTCTCCCTGAGGAAGAAGAGCACACGAGATGTTCGTTTGCTCGCTAGGCTGTAAAACGGACGGTGGGCAGCATCAGGGGGCGCGGAGGGGGGTGAGGAGGGCTCAGGGAGCCGCCGACTGGTCCTGACAGCGATCACAGGACCAGAAGGGTATTAAGTGCTTATTGGTGCCAGGCTCCAAACGCATCATCTCGTTTAATTCTCAGAACCACCCTCTGAGGTGCGTTTGATCATGATGCCCACGTTACAGTTGAAGGAACTGAGGTGGAGGCGGCGCTTCTTATCCAAGGTCATTCAACTTGTAAGTCGTGAAGCCAAAATTCGAACTCAGACAGCCAAGTCCCGGGGCTCATTCTTTAAGCGACTTTGCTATGCCACCTCCTTCGAGGCCAAAGACCTTCTTCGAAGTCCAGCGTCTGACGGTGGCAGAATCAAAGCACAGAGCCTGCCGCTCCTCTCACAGGGGAGGGAGCCTCCCCCTCCCCTGCACAGAGCTAACTGGTCAACAGCATCAGCTAAGATCCTTGGTCTTGAGGGACCCCAGGCAAGGTGGTTATGAATGAATCAGCTGAATCCCTCCCCATGAGGAAGAACGCTGGCGAGAAAGTGGCATACACACCAAGCACAGGGGCCACAGGAGCCCCAAGGCTCACGTCGTCCCCTCCCCCCCAATCCCAGAGTCCTCGTTGCAGGGCCACGCAGTTACCTGGGATACTCAGTGAGTGGTGCCCATTCGTTCCCATCTGGGAAGCAAAACAAAGGGATGGCACTGAGCAGCCGCTCCTCCTCCTCCTGTTGGCCCCGGAGCAGGTTCTCCCGCTGTAAGGGACAGGGAAGGGGACGGCGGTGAGCGGGGGTGCGGCAGGAGAGGGCTGGGGGCGGGCGGGCTCCCTTTGAGGCTCTAACGCAGCCTGACAATAAGCGTTCCACTGGCGTGGGGTCACAGCGTGCCTCTGCCTGTCGCCCTACACAGTGACTTCGTTCTGGGTCTGGCCAGAATGACCCCAGCACTGAAGCAGCCCCTCCCGGGCCTGATCTACGGGAGCCAGAGTTGGGCTTCAGTGTCATGAGGATCTGCGTCATCAAGATGGGGACGAGGGCCACACTGAGTACAGAAGGCCCAGGGACCGCCCAGCCTCCTGCGAGGACCGCGTCAGAGAGATACCACATCAGAGAAGAGAAGCAGCCAGCTCACTTGTCACCCTTTCAGGGTCAATGAGAATCTCTGTCACCCAGCACAGGAGCAGTGGAGGAGCCCGGCGTGTGGCTGCCCCTCCTTCTCCTTCCCACCCACCCCAGGGAGGGGGTTCCCACCAGGAGCTCCGGTAGAAGGTAAGCCTCTCGGTAGAGAAGGGTGACTGGGGATGGGATCCGGGAGAACCAGGAGGTCCAAAAAGGGGCTGAGGAGCTAGCCTAGTTCCCAGCTCGGGCGCCTAGGTCAGGGCCTCACGAAGAGGCCGGACCTAGATTCTGTGCGTGATAACAGAACACCGGCCGGGGCCCACGGGAAATGTCAGTGGGCAAGCTCAGGGCAGCTCCCGACTGAGCCAGCCCGGCTGGCTCGAGGGAGAGAGGCAGGCACCCTGCTGCCTCGCAGACACCCTGTCCTTGGCCCCGCCGCCCCCTCCTGCAGCCGTTACCTTGGGAAACTGGTAGGTGATCGTAGGCTCGTAACTCTCCTCTGACCGCTTTTTTTTGAGGGAAACCACGAGGAGGTATTCAAAGAAATGCTGTCCTCCAGCAAAGCTGGGCAGACAGTGCTCCGGGGCCCTTTCTGGTTCCTTGGCATCCTCCCCCGGAGTGTTCTGGACGGATCCTAAAACCAAGACACACGGCCCCCTCAGCACCTCAGAGGTCCAGGCCCCGAGGGGAGACTGTGAGGGGCCAGGACTCCAGCATTTCACGCGCTGCCACCCCACACCCCGCCCCCCAACCGTGCCCTGGCACCTCAGGTCTGGGAACAGGATCAGAGCCAAGTGGGCAGTTTCCGTGCCTGCCCGGGGAGATGTGAAACCACGCGGAGCCAAGGGGAGAAAAGAAATCACTGATCTGGAAGCCAAGGAAATGTACTGGGGAGGCCCCCTGGGAGCCCCGTGCCCCAGGGTACAGATTGACCGCCCACCTAAAGGGTGCCCAGCACAGCGCCTGAAACGGGAGACCTGTGCTCACTAAACCAGAAGAGCCGCACGGCCCTGTGGCTGTGATCACACCAACCCCCCAGAGGGCATGACAGGCTCTAAAACCAGCAGGGAAAGCCTCCCAGCCCAGTCTTGCGAGACCCTAGGAGGAGGTCGAGATATAAAAGGAAGAAAAAAAAAAAAAGAAAAGAAGCATTTCAAAGAAAAAACAGCCCCGTGGAAGAGAGTCACTGTGGAAAGGAGGAAGTGAGCAATCCAGTCCAGACCTGCTCGGAGTCGAGGCAGCCACACGCGGATCCTCCTGAGCATCCCGCCTACCCCTTGTCCTTCCATCGTCCTGGGCCTGCGAGGGCATGGGGCGCTGCCCTTTCCTCCAAAGCAGACTGGCTACAGAAGGCCCGAGAAAGGGGCCGCTGCTTCAACATCCGACCACAGCGCAGTGAAGACAAGCCCCGCGCTGCCTTCCAGATCAGGGGGAGCAGTTTCCATCCTGGGTACCCAATGGTTGGGCAAGGAGGATGTGACGGGACCCAGGAAGGCGGCAGGACGCCCGCACCGACAAAGGCAGCAGCATCCTGGCCCGACAGCTCAGACCTCAGCTCCTCCCAAAGAGCCCCGGGGTGTGGTGAGACAAAAGGTCGTGAGTAAACACCTCCGTGGCCCAGCTGCTAAGGGCTTTGAATTCGGGCTGCAGGTTGTACCGAGGGTTTATTTACAATTGGGAAAGAGAAGAATTCGAGATAAGGTCAGACTGTAGGCCCTGGAACCTCGCTGGTCTCAGGACCCGGATCTTCTATCCCCTAACTTTGATCCTTGGCCTTTCGCGTCTCATCCTGGCCAACAGCGGCCCAAACCCCCGGCGAGGCACCCTGCTGCACACTGGAACCTCCAGGACTTCCGGGTTTGCAAGCTAGAGCACAGGACCAAACACCCCCCACGGCCAGGATGCCACTGCTGTCCCTGATATCTGAAAGGAGAAACCATTCTCGTAAGAGGGAAACCTGGAAGTCAAGACAAACCTAAAAGCCTCCTCTCCTGGTGGTGAAACAGAGGCAAAGCCCACCTCTGAGCTGAGAGTTTCTGATATTTCCGACCTGCACAGGAGCACCTCTCACTCAGCCTGACAACACCTCCTGAGACAGATTTCTCACCCTGGGACGTGTTCTGGGATCCCAGCAGAGGACCCCTCTTGCAAATAGGAGGCACTGACTCAGGACAGTCTCCCTGGCCTACAGTGGTGAACCGGTGGCCTCAGCACCCTGAGGGTCACTCGGTGAAAGTCAAAAGCACCCAGGTGCTCTCCTCCCCACCCCCAACGCCTGCTTAGATTTTTTTTTCTTGGGCCAGGCCAACGCTTCTGCCCCAGCGAAAAGCAGAGCAGCGGGCCTCTGGAGCTCTAGAGGTGTCTGAAGACTGTGTCTGAGGCTGGGGAAGAGGGGGAGGGAGGACAGCAATGAATCACCTAGGAGTCTCACAGAAACCCCCGAGTGGGTAAATGCACAAAGGAAGAGAGGAGCGCTGTGGCCAGGAAGCTGCGTCTAACAGAAGCCAGGAGGCTTTAAAGACGCTTGGTGCCGGCGTCTGCCACTCCCGCAGAGAGTCAGGGGCCGCTGGAAGGAAATGAGGTGCCAGAACAGAGGAGACGGCTGCTTGCTCTTCAGGGCTTTGGACCTGGCTTTCGCGGGACTAACAGACACCAGCACTCAGGGGCCCCGCCATGACTCCCGGGAGAACCCCCGTCACAGTAACTAAGGACGTTACATACACTGTCACGGGGAGAACGGCGACCCAAAACGTTCAGAACTCTCTCTGCTCCTCGCTCGCAACCTGCCCAGTCCTCACCACCTTCTGAGGAATAAGCACCTGGCTGATACAGATGGGGAAACTGAGGCACAAAGTAGTTCAGGGACTGTGGACAGTATCCGTTGAGGGTTGGAATTACGAGTCCTATGCCCTTGCTCCTGCCTTCCGGATGCAGCACACACCGAACAGCCCAGAAATGTGGACTGCCCGCCACGTGCGAACCCAAATCTTTTCATTGATCATCCCAGAACCTCGGGAGAGCACTCCCTCCCCGGAGGTCTCTGAGTTGCAATTCACAGTGCACTCCCTCCTGCTCCATCGGCCTAGCCCAGAGAAGAGCAAAACTCATGAACTCAGACAAAAAGCAACTAGACTCGTGGGATCAGGCCCAGGAAACCCAGGACTATGGCTTTCTCCTGTCTCCCACGGGGTTATCAGCAGAGGAGGCGCATGCGCCCAACACCCGTTTCATCTAGGTCATCCCCAGTGCCCTGGAAAGGAATTATTATCCTGGGTTTTTAATTGTGGAGGGAGCCACCCTTTCTAAGGAAGTCAGGAGTCTGGTTACACCCGTTCATCTACCGGCAAGCTCCTCCCACAGCTACCTGAGGAAAGTCCCAGAACCAGCTGAAATACAGGTGAGAGGAGTTTCTGCAAGCTTAGTCTGAAAAGCTGGCCCCTCCTCTTCTAGCTGGGCAGCTCTCAACCCAGGACCACCCCCATGCCACACCGCCCAGCAGGATGATTGACACGGTCCTTGTGTGGGTAAGGAAGGCACGTGGGAACACACCTGCTTGCCACACAACTGCCCTAGAGGGACCGGGAGCTCCCCCGGAGGGTGGAGGACAGACCAAGGTATGGAAGATGAAAAGGGCACACTGTCCTGGCCTGGCAGGGGGCGGACCTCAGGACAGGCGGCACTGGCTGCCTATCTTCCAGTTTCTCAACGTCCAGGCAGAATCACCACTTCCTCTTGGGGCCAGGGTGGGCAGGGACAACTGGAGTGTCTCCTCTGGGCTGAAGGAGGCAGGTCCCTTCCATACACACGGACGTCTCGGGTGGAGGGGGACAGGGCAGACCAGGCCAGTGCCCTCCCCTGCATTCTGCTCGGGCCCCTGCACAGTCCCAGACCTCTGTCTCTGCCCGTGGCCTCGGACCTTTCTGCCTTGGTTTCGGGTGAAACAGCAGATTCTGAAGCCCGTGTTCAGGCAGAACAGCGGGAGGTGGAGGGCAGGGGTGGTGGCAGGAGCCCCAGGCCTCCCCAGCTCGGGGCTTGGACGTGGGGGTGGCTTGGCTCGGCCTTTCCCTGTGCCCATGCCGGAAGCGGGGGTCTGTGCTGTCCCAACGGCCCGTTCTCCCCTGACAGCCAGGCATGAGCAGAGCAGCTGAGGGTTGCGGCTGCTCGGCCGCAGGGCTGGCTAGTAGTAAGAGACAATAAATGTTTGCTGAATGAACGAAAAAAAAAAATGAACAAATTCCTAATTGCCCTCCTTCCAAAGCACAGCGCCCGGCTAAGAAAGAAGGAAACGAGCCTCGACTTCCAACGTGACTCCCACAGGGCTGGGAGGAATCCTCACTGCGCCGAGGGGGCTCGGGGAGGCGGGACTTGCCTGGTTCTCACACTCCAGGCTGCCGCTGAGCAAGCGCCACCGCAGCTCTCTGGTCGGGGCCACACTCTCCGCAGCCCCCGATGGCCTCGGGCGGCTTTGCTACGCCCCCTCGGAGGCCAGGTTTTCTGGCCAGTAGCTACCAGCGGTGCAGGGGGCGAGGCGCGCGGCGGAAAGAGGCGGGGCGGGGAGGGACGGCGGGCACCCCGGGGCTGAGGCGGGGTCTCCGGAGGGCGCTCCAGGCGCTCTGCGGTCGCACCGCAGGCTTCCTGGATGGAAGGACACGTGGCCCAGGGGCCCCACCACGGCTTCCTCTACCCGCCGCCTTCCCCTTCATCTGCCACCCCCTCAGCCCGGCTACTCCTGTGACCTCCGACCTTGTCCCCACCAGGCCCTGGCCGCTCCTACTTGCACGCTCCCTCCGCTCACCTGAGCTCTGCCCAGCCCTCCCGAAGACGCGGCGGACGGCTCCCGGATCCCGACACTCCGCGCCTCCCTCCCCGGCCCCCCGCCGCGGTCACCTTGCGTGCTGACCCCGGTCCCCGCGCTGCCACCGCGCCCTTGCCCCATGCCCCGGCCCGGCACTAACCCCCACGGCCGCGCTTCAGTCTCAGGCTGGCTCGGAGGCGGCGGCCGAGCCCATCCATGGCCCCTCCAGAGCCCGACGCCCGCTCCCAGGTCCGCGCCGGCCCCGCCCCCGTGCCGACCTCCGCGGGCCGACACTTTCACTTTCACGCGGGGGGAGGCCGAGGGACGGGCCCCGAGCGGGGCGGCGCACCTTCCGGGCTCTGCCCAACCCCTGGCGCACCTGGGCGGGCCCGCTCTTCCCTCTGCCCGGCAGGCTGCCTGGGGTGGCAGAGGGCGCTCGACCCGCGTCGGGGCGGGGCGGCGCCACCTCGCTCCCACCCTCCGCGGGGCGCCCCGGGAAGCGTGCCTTTCCTAACCCCGCAGTCCCCAAACGCGGGGGGGGGACCCGGAGAGATCAGCCCCTACCTTCGCAGCACGGGCTGGGACTGTCCTGTGGGCACCCGCGCCCCTTCCAGGCGGCTCCCCACTTATCCCAGAAGGGAGTAGCTTTTTCAGAGCGGGCACACCTTTCCAACCCTTCCATTTCTCCCCCGGCAACTGCGGTTTCCAGATCTTTTGCCTTATTTGTCCTTCTACCCGACGGGCACGTGTGCCTGCCTTGCTCAAAGCCCGGTTCCACTTCCCCAACGAACCGAGGGGGGCGAAGGGCAGCTGCAGGTGCTCCTGCGGAGGCTCTGGAGGTGACGCCTTGGGTCTTGACCCTGCCTTCCCACTGGCCTGTTTGATTTTGTTTGTTTTTTTAATCTACTTGAGTAGCACTGGTTAATAGCATTATATACATTTCAGGCGTACAACCCTGTAATTTGAAATCTATATATACCCTAGCGTGTGCTCACCACCTGAAGAAGTCTAGTCTCCTTCCATTACTATGAATTTGACCCTTTCCTCCTCCATTCTCCCCACAACCCCCACCCCCGCCCCCGCAGTCCCCATTCTGTGGTTTTTGTCTAAGAGTGGTTTTTGTTTTTGTTTGTTTCCTCCTCCAATGGATGGTTACATAAAGAAGATGCGGCGCCTGTCAGCGATGGAATACCCACTCAGCCATAAAAGAGAAACCCTTGCCATCGGTGACCATGTGGATGGCCCTGGCAGGTGTGACGCCCAGGGAAGTCAGTCAGATGAAAAGGGACAAGAACCACATGATCTCACTGATACGCCAAATATAAAATAAAAAGAAACAAACCATCCAGCATGTTTCTGGGCAACAGAACCCCAAACCAGGGAGAGTTCACCCTGCCACTCCCCGCCCCCTCACTGACATGTGAAAGCTGAGGAACAGAAAGCTCTTTGCAAACCGTTGTGTGATACCAATCTAAGGGATGTGAGGATGATGACGACGGTGACGATGGTAGTCGCAGCTCTCCACACTCCCGTGCTCTGATCCCAAAGCCCAACACAACCTGTCAGCTCCTCGTCCACCTTTCTCACCTTCCGTGGCGTCCGCGCTTGCCCAGATGTCTGGCTTCAGTTGTCAGGCTTGAAAATCTGCGTCTGACGAGCCCCACTTGTGTCTGACGAGCCCCACCAGGGCAACGTCCCAGGCGCCCTTCCCCTCCCACGACCAGCATCTGTAGGAGGGAATAGAGTCCATCTCAGAGGTTTTAGCCTCCGTTTCAGGCCTGCGAGGCAGAGGGAAGAAGACACTCTGGCAGAAAGATATCCAAGGTCTATGGATATGACCCCCGCCCAAGCTTCAGCTCCCTCCCCTTCCTGTGCATGCCTGCAGGTGACTCTCCTGCCACAGACTTGGGGTGAGCAGAAGTCAGGAATCCAGCCCTGGTATTAAACTGTCTAGCCTTAGCCCGGAGATTCTAAAAGTCGCCTCTACTCTGGACCTCTGCAATTTTGTACTTAATTACACAGTCTGTTTCTGTTCCCTATTTTCTCTGTGTATTCCCATATGTGAGGACACATGTCTTCCCCGAGGACATTCTCTTGGCTGCACCTGTGTCTCAGGCATCTCTGTATAGGTTTAGAACTTATTCATGATAAACTTGTCCAATTAGTTGAATATTATTGTGCCTTAACTTCCCTAACCTATTTTATGCTGGTCCCAACCAAACTACTTCCTTCCTTGAAAAGCTGATGAAGAAATATGTACCTATGTACACCAAATAGATGCTACAAGAATGACCATGGAAACACTCTCTGCAATAGCTTCAAATTGGAAGCAGCCTCAAGTGTCTCTAAATAATGACAGGGATGAATTGCGGCACATTCTGTCAATGGCGCACTATACAGTGGTAGAAAATCCATAAACCACTGCTACATACAATAACGTGGCTATTTCACACAAACATAATTGAGCGAAAAAAAGTCAGACACAGTAGAGTGCTTAATGTAAGTTTCCATTTATATAAAGTTAAAATAAGCAAAACAAATCTATGGTATGAGAAGTCAGAATGATGTTCGATGAGAGAAAAGGAGAAGTAATAATTGGGAGGATGCCATAGGTATTCTGGGTGCAGGTAAGGTCCTATTTCTTAACCTGGTGGCCAATACATGGCCGTGTTCACTACATGATTATTCTTTGCACTGTACACTTCTATGCATTTTTCTATATGTATATGAGACTTTAATTTGAAAAGATGTTTTGAAGGATTCATTAGGACATTAGAGTGATATAAAGGGAGGTATAAGCTAGTTGAGTGGAGACTGAATTGAGAAATTATTGGGATGGAAGGAAGTGGAGTTAACAAGTATAAATCTACATTTTGACAAGTGTGCTTAACAATAGTGAGAAGTTCATGGGTCCATAGTTAGAGGGAGAATGGGGTTCTGAGTGGTGGGTTAAGATGGAAAAGATTAGAATGTATTTATGAGCACCGTGGCTGGTGTGGCTCAGTGGATTGAACACTAGCCTGTGAACAAAAGGGCCTCCGGTTCAATTCCCAGTCAGGGCACAGGCCTGGGCTGTGGGCCAGGTCCCCAGTTGGGGGTGTAAGAGAGGCAATCACACACATAGATGTTTCTCTCCCTCTCTTTGTCCCTCCCATCCCCTCTCTCTAGAAATAAATAAGATCTTTTTTTAAAAAATATATTTATGGGCATTATGGGTAGGAACGAGCAGGAATGAGAGGTAAAGTGGCAGAAAGAACAAGGTCAGAGAAAGGGGGAGAAGGCGGGAGTGAGGGGTTTAGGGAGAAGATTGGCTTTACATGGGAAAAGGCTACTTAGTGTGAGGGGCAGAAAAAGAGATGAGACTGGATATGGATGTTGATTAATTTGTAGTCGAGAAAATGGGAAGTTAAAGCTAGAACAAGAGCCCTCAGTTTCTGCTAATAGAAGAGGGCATTTTCTTTTCTCTTCTTGTACCTGCCAGACATCAGCCAGAAATACGCGATGAAGCCCAGGATGAGAGCCAGGACTGGCAAAGAGCATCTGAACACTGGAAACAAAGATGACCTTTTCCATTAGCAGAAAGAGCTCCTGGAGCCAAGTTCTCAAATCTTTTTCTCCTAGACAAGGGTCTCTGCTCTACATTTGGATAACCTTGACCAAACCTTGACACACACACCTGTTCTGCTCGTTCGTTTATTTTGTTTTTTTTTATTCAACCGTTGATAAATATGTATTTATTGCCATTTTATTGTTCACATTTTAATAATTTTCTTTCTTCTTAAAGAAGACCTTTTAACATTTCATGTAATAGTGGTTTGGTGGTGATGAACTCCTTTGGCTATTTTTTGTCTGGGAAGATCTTTATCTATATTTCAATTCTAAGGGATAGCTTTGCTGGGTAAAGTAATCTTGGTTGTAGGGGCTTGCTTTTCACCACTTTGAATATTTCTTGACAGTCCTTTTTGGCCTGCCACGTTTCTGTTGAGTAGTCAGCTGGCCATTTTATGGGAGCTCCCTTGTGGAAAACTGTTTTTCTTTTGCTTTTAAGATTCTCTCTTTGTCTTTAACCTTTGTCATTTTTAATTATGATGTGTCTTGGTGTGGGTCTCTTTGGCTTCATCTCACTTGGGATTCTCTGCGCTTTCTAGACTTATATGTCTATTTCCTTCACCAGGTTAGGGAAGTTTTTCATCATTTTTTAAAACAGATTTTCAATTTCTTGTTCTCTCTCTTCTTCTGGCATCCCCAACATGCGAATGTTGGTATACTTGGAGTTGTCCCAGAGGCTCCTTACACTATCCCTATTTTTTTAAATTCTTTTTTTTCTGTTTGCTGCTCTGACTGAGTGTTTTCTGCTTATCTTCCAAATCTCTGATTTGAAATACGTATTTCTTGGGTGAATAAATGAATGGATGAATGACTAGATGGGTAGTCTGCCTTAAACTTTTATCCCTCAGTCGCCAGAAAATTACTTGAAACATTTTTTTTTTCTGGGCCCTACTTATAGCAAACAGATTGCTTAAGGCCCATTACACCTTTTGCCTTTGCCAGCAGAGCCTTGATCAGAGGCGTATCAGATGGGCAGAATCTGATCATGGCTGCCTCAGTCTGCTTTCTGGAGACAGGTTTATAGTGGGCATGTGACTCAGCTCTGGCCAGGGAGATGTCAGGTGTCTATCCTGGTCAAGGGGACGCCTGCAGGGCACTTCTGGTATAGGCTTTTCTAGATGGGATGTTGTTTTTCCACTTCTGGACATCAGTGAGTCTGGGTGTGATGACAGGAACTTCTGAGATGAAGCTGGCACACACAGCAGGGCGGGGTGAACACGCTGTCACAGGAAGGGGTGGGAGCCAGGCATGGCTGGCAGGAGCCTGGGGCTGCCTCAGCTCTGCGTGCCTCGTTACCTGAGGTGAGAACTCTCCTTACGGATCAAGGCAGTGAACTTTCTAAATACTTTTTACATCGCATCCAACACACACACACACAGACACATTATATGCAGAAAACACAAAAGTGGTTCACAAGACAATACCGCTTCTATTACATGCAAGGTATTTTTCCTTTTTCCTCCCATTTTATTATTGCAATTTTAAAAATACAAAATTGAGCCCTCCTAAAATGATTACATTGCCTAAAATATGTATGTGACCTGCAGGGTTACAAAAAAAAAGTGGTGGCGGGGGAGGGGGGTGGAGGTTTCTGGTACATTTTCCTATAAACTCTAGAGTCAGACTACCTGGACTGGTATCC